CTAATTCTTTGTTAACTGTTGATCTACATTTGTGTTAACTGTTGATCTACATCTGTGTTAACTGTTGATCTACATCTGTGTTAACTGTTGATCTACACCTGTGTTAACTGTTGATCTACACCTGTGTTAACTGTTGATCTACTTCTGTGTTAACTGTTGATGTAATTCTTTGTTAACTGTTGATCTACATTTGTGTTAACTGTTGATATAATTCTTTGTTAACTGTTGATCTACATCTGTGTTAACTGTTGATCTACATTTGTGTTAACTGTTGATCTAATTCTTTGTTAACTGTTGATCTAATTCTTTGTTAACTGTTGATCTACTTCTGTGTTAACTGTTGATCTACTTCTGTGTTAACTGTTGATCTAATTCTTTGTTAACTGTTGATCTAATTCTTTGTTAACTGTTGATCTAATTCTTTGTTAACTGTTGATCTACATCTGTGTTAACTGTTGATCTACTTCTGTGTTAACTGTTGATCTAATTCTTTGTTAACTGTTGATCTACTTCTGTGTTAACTGTTGATCTAATTCTTTGTTAACTGTTGATCTACATCTGTGTTAACTGTTGATCTACTTCTGTGTTAACTGTTGATCTACTTCTGTGTTAACTGTTGATCTAATTCTTTGTTAACTGTTGATCTACTTCTGTGTTAACTGTTGATCTAATTCTTTGTTAACTGTTGATCTACTTCTGTGTTAACTGTTGATCTAATTCTTTGTTAACTGTTGATCTACTTCTTTGTTAACCACTTACGCTTTTGCTAAAGATTTATTTTTGATCTGCTTTTCTAGACTCACTATTTTTTAACTACTTACCGTGTATGTTAAACATTTACACCAGATCAGCTTCTTTGTTTATGTTAAGGACTTGCAATACTGTATTTGTATTTTATATTTATGGCAAAGCTACTAAGACAGTCCCTAATTTTCAACTACTAACCAGAGGGATGGCAGCTAGTCAACAGCATCTATTATCCACGCTAAGGGAACGACTGTCACTTTTATAACACATCCACAGCTTAAGGTACTAGGGATATTTTTTGGCACCACACGGAATCGAACACAGCTCGTCAGCTCCGAAATCCAGAGCTCTACGAAAAGATCAATCCACGCCCACTTACAATACTACTCTGGTAGCCCTTTAATTTATGCTAATGATTACACTGTTATTAGCCAATGAACGTATGTATTGATTATCTACTGTAGGTTTTCGTTTATAAGCCATTAACGGTTTACTGCAGTCCCCCATCAATATTTCTCCTATTTGAACGAAGTAATAAAGGTTAATGGCTTTGTTAAAGATACCAAATCACCTTAGAAAAAAGGCTGTCAATCGTTCACCCTTAAGTACTTAGGATAAGGTTTGTAGCACCTCATGTTAAATCGTAGTGTGTACATGAATACTTAGAACACATTTTTGTAACATAAGTTCTTTTTATGTAATTGATGACTCAATATTTTCTATAGATCAAAAGACCAGAGCAGGTTTATGTTGAATGTTTCAAACAGATTCACCTTCAACTGTTGCACTCTTGACTGATGACTTTCATCTTTATGACCTTGGTACGAATCTTCATGTTCCTGAGTGGCTGTTGGTAGCTTTTTACGTAAGAACTGGGGGGACGCCCCCCCAGACAAAATCTTTTTTATATTATTGTATTCAATAATTGTATTGTAATATATGAAACAACAGGGATACAAAGTTCTAATCACTGACCGGAATTAAACCCCACAATCCATAGCTTCCAGCTTGCCATTTGATTATGATAGGTACAGTAAAAAAAAACAAAACTACTAAAAGAAAATAATAATAATAAACAACTTATTTATGAAATGTCATATTTACTAAAAAATTATTCTTAATTAAGAAAAGTAAA